ATACAGTGCTCAAGTTAACCAGCGGCTATTAAGTGAAAACGCACATTGCTGGCGCTGGCGTGATCTGGCATGGTGATCCGGTATAATCCGTAATTGCTCAAGCAATTTAACCGCTCTCTACCAGGGATTATTTTTGGAATCTGCATCATTTTCAGGCTTTAAAAATGAAACTGATGAGTGGCAAAATGATCAGCGGTTTTCTTAATTTGGAGATGGGTTTACCAACGATTAAATGATCCCATGCAGTTAAAATAAATGCGGATAAAAAGGACGAAAATATGGAGGTTACTGCCCTGGAGCAGAGTGGGCGGTCCCTCAATTTCTGGCTCATCTGTCGAACCCCACGAGACTTCGCGAGAGTCAACATTTTAATATCTGAATATGTATGCATTCCAATGACAACACAATCAGTGCTCACTCTAGGCAGTTGTCTCTCCGTTTTGTCTCCAAGAAAAAACTTGCTTGTGTCTTTTTTGGATTCCGCTTCAGAGCTGGTGTTTCCAGTTTAATTGAAAACAATTTCGTTTGAACTACGTCTGTATAGGCCTACTAGGCAATGGCTTTAAATGGTTCTTTTGACATTTAAAAATCTCAGCATTTAATATAGCTTGAATACAATGTTGCAAGTGGGAAAATTGGATGGTTGAATAGACTGATGTTATTTATTGTTGGTAGTATTGTAGAATTCGCATCGTTTCGAAAGCCGAATATGTAATTTCGTTTTTGCGTCTATGATGATACTTCAGTTTTGAAATGATGGCGATCCGGTTAAATGTATTGGTATTCCGCGAATCGCTGAATCGCATGTTGGGAACGACCAACTTTGAGTCATGCGTGGACTTGGAACGACTTCAACCACACACGTTGTACATGTACTTTGGACGCTTCTGTAGCGATGAATAATCCCTTTAAATCAAGGATCTATCCGTACCACCCACTAATGGCAAAAACATCTCCCCAAAAAGCATTTGGACGTGTTACATGTCTCTGATGCCATTACACAAGTTCCATTCGCCTCAAAAAAAAAAAAAAAAAAACCGCTGGAAGGGAAAACTTGACATTTAAAGTTTCGCTCTTTCAATTTTCCACACAAACATCCCTCCATTAAGATATTAATAGTCCGTGGTTTGAGATGAAATGATGCTCTGTTTTAAAGGCTTTGAAGACATTTTCGGTGTGTAGACCTGTGCCTATGAGCGTTGTGCGTGGTACAAATTATACCGTGTACATATTACCATGATGAAGCGGTTTATAAACCCACTACTGCACGGAAACTCCTCGGTGTTGCTGAAGGGCTGAGGAGCCCACGCAGAATAGTGCACGATGATTCCACCTGCCACTCCACGCACTTTTTCGGTTTGAATTTCGGTAAACAGAGCCAAATAACACCGTTGATGACGTCAGAGGGTATCATGTGCAATGTCGGTGTGCAGTATGGGCAATTCGAAAGTTTGCGCATGCGAGTTGTTTGTACCGTTACTTACGCCAACAGCAGCTTGTGTCCGTTTTTCTCATGTGTCGTTGACGCGTGAAAAAGTATTACGGAAATCATCTCGGGACAAACAAACAGAGGGAGCTGCGTATGGATGCGGCTCAGTGACGAGGAGCACTGACCTATTATTTTCCGTCTGCCTGAAGATCATGGAGTGACTCCACACACACCTGATGTCTAGGGTTAAAGAAACAAACTATGACTTTTGAAACGTCACTTTGAAACCTCAGGGTTAAGCCAAAACATCATCTTCTTGAAACGAGACAGCATATTCAAGAAACGATTGGATTGACGTAATTAAGCTTAATGAAATGCAATGGAACACAAGTGGACTCTGGAGAGTGACATTCAGTTTGACAGTTCATTTTGGACTGCCTTCTTGTTTGTTTACAGGTTATTTTGTTTACAGGTTATTTTGCCAAGTGTTTCCTCCTGCTTGTTGTGATTGGTGATGACGTTTTTGTTGTCGGAAAACGTCAGACGAACGAGGAGCGGACCACTTATGGGGGTAAAAACCTAATTCAACACTAGATGTGACTCCGACGCCTCGCCAGTGTCTACCGAATGTTGTTCATGTAACGCCTCTCTTTAATTAATAGTAAAGCACAACTGGGAAAGCAAGACGGGAATTTTGATGCATGTCTTGCTATTTGGTACAATCGGGGTGAATAATGTTTCCTTTTATAAAGAGAGAGCAAGAAAAAAGCCCGGTAGGATGAGGAAGGAGTTTACTGATTAAGACTGTGCAAAATTTAGTGGTTTAGGCCAAAGAGTTTTTTGGGCATCGGGGATCGAGGTTTAAGACTGTCAAAACGAATCTCTCAAAATATTTCTGGATGTCTAACAGCGCCATTAGCGGACTCAAAATTGTTCAAAATTGAATCGACTGAAACATGGAGCCCACTGCCAGAACCGACATTTTAAAGGCACGTTTTTACCTGAAGTTATTTTAGGAAAGCACGTTTTGGGAACTTCACCCTGATATGTAATGTAATTAACATTGGTCAGACGGAGTCGGGGAAGTGGTAAGCCTCCTCCAACCCACCTACGGGAACCTAGAGACACGGTTCGATTTTCGAAGGATTTTACTTAAAGCTCACGTAGATGAGGTGGCTGTGGGAGAGGAGTGGGGTTCAGTCTTTTTTTTCCAACAGTTTCTGTTAAGGCTGATGAAGAAAAGTCGTGTGGTCCGTCGAAACGCTAGAGGGGGGGGGTTGATATGTATTCCCAGAGGATCCCGAGATAATCACGGCAAGGCGGGAAGGATGAAGCCCCTGGCCGAGCCAAGGCAGGTGGAAATTGACGAGAGAGTCGAACGGGGTCGACGCCTTCGACCACGCCAAGTACGCATTTAGGGAAAAGTGTCCTGGATACTGTCATCTCTACATCGGGAAATTTGAATTGATGCAGATAACGATGAACATATTCAAGCAGCCTGAGTTAGGCTTAGGATAAAAAATTAATCACCAGTTTTCACCAAACTGACTAAGTGTATAGAAACCCTCTGAAACAATTTTGGCAGTTTTCCTTAATTTTTTTTACTGTTTCCTTGGTAAATAAGCAACTGATTTTCGGAGATTGACATGTGTAAATGTGTGTCCACTCTTACTGTTTATTTCTGTTAAGTGAGATTTGCAACAACTGATTGGGTGTTGGTCTCTGGTGTTATTCGCAATTGCCATATTTGAGACGTCATAAAAGGCGTGTACAGTGACAAACAGGCTAGAATAAACAAACTCTCTACAACTGCCCTCCTGTTTCGCTAATCAACTGTTAGTCTTCATGTTTAAAAAGCTAACGGCCTTCCTCTTGAAAAAGAGATATTCAATGTTGAGTCATTCTTACTACTGTCTTCTTATCCATCCCGCATTCAAAATGTTTAGGCCTAAAGTAAGCCTTGTCTATTAATGAATTAAAAAAAATCATAACTATCGACTCGCTGTCTGCAACCAATAAAATGTGGTGACAGACGCAAATATAATGTTCAGCTCATAATTCACGTCAAATCTTTAAGGGTAAGACAGATTTCGCACCGGTGAATAATAGTTTCGGCGTTGCATCAAGGGCGCATCTAGATCTTCATTGAGTTGCGCAAGGCAGGTCAATGACCGCCGACGGGGTTTCGTCCATCCTGATTCTGATACTGCCAAAATATGAAAAAAATATTTTCCCTAACTACGGTGTTGTATATTAAGAGCTATAAAAGCTTTCTGCAGGATGAAAAAAGTTAATTTCAAGCCTTGTATGCTTTCCTGCTAAGCAAGAAACTCTCTTCTAGGGTAAAAGTGGATTTCTCTTCGAGGGAACAGTTAAAGGTGGACAATTTATTTATTCCGTGAAAAGATGGGCTTATGATGCACCTGTACACAATGTGCGTGTACAGAAAGGTGTTTGAACCCTAGCGCGTGACGTCATTCACACTTAATGAAGAAACCGGTATAATGTGGTCGGTCGCCTTCGTGCGACTTCTCCAAAAGAGTAATCCCCAAGTTCCTGCAACTCTCTTAACCCGAGAACACCAAGAAGTCAGTTCGTTTAAAGGGTGCTATTTTACCCTCCCAAACTGTTCTGTTAGTTAAGTGCTGTAAAATCTTCAGTCCAGTCGAATTAGACTCGAGTCCGAGTCGGCGAGGCATTCTGAAGAAATATTTCTCGCTTATCACTACGGCATCGTCGGAGTTTTTACGGACCAACATTAACACAAACTTACCGTCTAAATCTACATATTTTCCCTTACTGTGAACTCGTGAAAGTGCCCCCCTAATTAAACCTAAGGCAAAAAGAAGAGTCAATTTGCCTTTTAAATATTGAAAACATCGACTTGACAAGCTCTACTTGATAATTTTTCACTCTTTATAGGTCTGCAGAGTCTTTATCTATAGAGTCTACGAGCCTATTTTTACCGTGTGTGGAACAATTTCTCTTTTCCTGTCTGAAAAAGGTGAGTGAGATATAAGTCAACCTTCGCACAAAAAGGCCCTAGGCACTGCTATCTATATGTCAACTTGGACTAAAAGTTTGCTGTTTTTTCCCTCCCAAATTTGAGTTGAGGGATAAACAACAAAACATCGACGATTTATAGTTTGTCCTTGATAAGACACAGAGCTGTCAAACGAACACACAAAAAGACCTCTTACGAACACGACAATGCCACCGCACGTTCTATTTTTTTTTCTGGGGGATGCCCTCCATTCCTTTCTGGAGGAAAAAAACCGAGATGCTTTTCGATCTGTTGATGTTTCCATGGAGACTTACTGAGAAAAAAAAGGTTTTGGTGACATGATCATAATTGCGCGTGGGGAGTCTTCCGGGTTCCGGGCCGAGTCCCCGCTAGAAATTTCCGTCTGACGTGTGCCACCATCAGCTGCGGGCTGTTGAACCAGTCATGTACACGCAATGCCCGAGCTGGCCGGACCCCCCTGTGACGTCATCGCAACAGATAGCACACAGCTCAGGTCGTGGGTGATCGCTGCTATAAAGTGCGCCACCCGTGCAGCGGAGAGTCAGTTCACTGCACCACTAGCGAACAGACCTGAGTCCCGCGTTCATACATGAAAGGCGCACCATCCAACACGTGCTTTGTTAACAGCTGTAACATTGTCATGCAGTAGGGGGGAACCCTGTTGTGATTCATAGCATCGACCCTGTCCTCTTCACATTCCAAGATCTTACCATCAGGTTTTCTTCGTGGAGCTACTATATTGAAGATGGAGGCATTTGGATCCAACACCACCTGTCCAAAGCAGGCGCTACTCAGCTACGTCAATAACAACGTGATCGGAGGGGAGGCATTATTCCGTGGTCCATTCGGACAGAGAAGGGGTGAGTTCATTCAACCGTGTCCTTCACGACCACACTGTTTTTCTCAACCTGTCAGATCGCTTGTGATTGTGTTAATATTTTACAATGGCATTTGATGTTTCCTCATAATATATATGTCACCTATCATCCCTTTGACCAGTTTTTTTTTAGGGGGGGTTGGGGGATTTTGCCTCAATGTTACAATGACCTGCAAAGAATGATCTTGAAACTGTTGTGGGAAGAATCATTTCTTTAGTTTGCCAGTTTCATAAATGTTGGCTTACCTGGATTTATGTAGAATTGGATACCGCACCCCCCACAAGAAAAAATAAATAAATAAAAATGCTTAAAGGGTTATTATTTTGATGTCAGTAACAATGCAATGAATTACCTGTATGTGTCTGCTTGACTGTCACAATAAGTCATAAAAACAATCTGGTGGTCTGACAACCCAACTCCCCTTAGAAGAATTCCATGCTTTGTCATACTTGGTCAAAAATGTAGATTTGCGATGTAGGCCTAATGGGAGCATGTTTTGAAGTAAGTCATCGGAGGTGATTAATAATTACCCCATCTTAATTTAGAAATCTTGGTCCTAGCAACTTTTCAGTCGCTATCTGATATTACCTTTTGCTCTGCGTCATGCTCCGTTAGTTTTAACCCTTATTCGACACATGAAATCAAAACACACGGTTTGTGTTGTGCATGTAGCCTACTGTAAAGAAAACCCGGTGAGTTGTCGGGTAATCCATGCCTTTCCCAATTTGGCGCGAGGTTGTGCATGTGTTTGATAAAAATTGTTCGGAAATGTCAATCAGTTCGTGAGCTGGTTTGCACGAATTTGGCCGGGGGGGCTAGGGACAGAGAAACGCGCCAAAAGACATCGGTTAAAGTGCTGCAAATCAGAATGTCATAAACGATGATTTGACCGAAGATTGTGCTGCCTGGCTGGTTATTTCTATCTTGAATTCTTGTGATGTGTTCATCAGAAAACATGCTGGTCAAACCGCTTTGAAAGTCGCACCATAATAATTGGCACAAGATTAGCAACAAAATAAGTTTTGACTTGCATCGCTGGAACAATTGTGATTTTCCTCTGCGTCTACCACAACCTGACTCATTGTTGACATTTATGTATTACCTGCGCGTTGTACTTGTAGATTCCAACGAAATTAAAACTTTGTTTGAAATTTTTCTTGTGCCCAAAATAAGCAAACACAGAGCCTTTAGATCACAATGTCTCAGACTGGCTGCCAAGGGAAATATAAATCTCTCGAGTGGGTTCCCACCAAACTGATTGGGGGAAATGAGGGGCGTTCTTTTGCTGGTCCCTGTTGTAGGTGGGAAATGCTATTGTAAATCAAGTGTGTGATCTGTAGAAAGGACGAAAGTGTTGCCACGTGCGAATACGAACCAGCCTTGGGGAAAAACTTGCCTTCGCTGTCAGTGACCGGAGGAGACTCCAGGGTGTCTTCTTCGGGTTCCCTTGCACTAAACACCGCGTCCTGTTAGGTCTCACCCGCTCTTGGGAGTTCAGCCGATAGCGTGACGGAACTCTCTGCTGGTCAAATCAAGCCGAACTCTTTGAAAATGAGGTGTCTTCCCTAGATAATAGGTCACGGAGTAATGTCACCCTTAAAATAAGGCTACCGGGACCCTTGCGCAATTCATCAGAAACTTGCGGTCATTTTTGACCTGTGTTTGGAGTGATGGCCGTGAATTAGAATATTACTCATCTTCCTTAGTCACGCGTACTTTTCACCAAATGGGAAACACGCACGGCATTTCCACCACATCGCGATCCAGGCCTTTTGTTTCCAGCCGCATGATTTAATGGCCCGGAAAAGCAGATTTTTTTCTTGTTGTAACCTTCTTGAAATGACCTGAACAGCCGCCCGAAAGAGCCTTGACAATGATACTGCGTGCATAATACTCTGTAGTTGAAACTCCCATGGGTGGCGTTGTTTCTAATCGCTTTGACATGTGTATTTACAAAACATTGTATGTTGACTGGCAGTAGTGGCGAACATCCGTCAATTAAACAAACACAAAAACATCGCCCGCGCTGTTTGTATTGTCGAGTGGCATTCGCGTTCGGTCAAGGATTTTTTTTGTGTGTACAAGAATAAAACAACAGCTTACAGCTGTTGTGGCGGTCAGTATTGGTCGGTCAGTATTGGCCGGTCACTATTGGTCGGTCAGTATTTGCCGGTCTGTATTGGTCGGTCTGTACTGGTTAGTCGATTGACAGAAGGTAGAACCAATATAACAATAACCATCGCTTCTCCGGCCTTGACTTTATTTTGTAAACCAAACCCCAATACACAGAAATGCAGTGCATGTGTAAACCTTGAGCTAAAAATTGGGGACATGATGGCGAACGTCAGCCAGATGGGGGGGGGGCGCTACGCCAGTCTTAAATGTTTCTCAAAATGCGATTTAGTGATTGATAAAGTAGTATGAGCAAACAACAATTGATCACGTTGTTCTTTCACATCAATCCCGTTTAAGATGTAAATCATTCTTAATTTGGTTATTTATTTATTTTTTTTTTGCAGTGATATATTGCGATTACACAGCTTCTGGAAGGTAAGAACAACTTACATTCATTCCTTTTACAGTTATTACAATTAGCTTGCACTTTTGTAAGTACATTTGATTGACGTTGAAATCTGAGCTGACAAGTCTGTACATGTCCCGAGAGGAAAACCACCTCGTGAATTTGCCTTAGCTTAGGCCATCAGGCCAGGAACATTTCCCCATCCCAACTGACCGACATTAGCTGGGAGCCTATAGAGGGTAACCGTCAGTCACCCAGATTTGTTTGTACAACACAACGTTTGTGGTTACTGAATTAACTGTGGTGGATCCACTTCGCGTGGACAGTTTGACGACAGGGACCACTTTTGAAAATTCTGGTCCACAGTTGGCGCTGAATTCTTGAACCGCATGAAAAAAGAGTTTTACCGTGGCTTTCATCCGAAAAGTAGCTACTGCAAAATGGGCTCACGTTTGGAGGACGCGAAATAGGACGAGTAGATTACAAATAGGTTACTTGAAATAAGTCTAACATTAACTGGCGTTAACTTGAAGACTCTGAACGCAGTCCAGGGGAATCTAGGGTCTTGAAACAAAGCTTAAGATTGAGTGTGAAAAAGGGAAGAGAAACATGTTTTGAAGGCTGTGATGAAGCCCTGGGCGTGTCCTGTGTTGTTCCGACAGCATGCGATTGTATAAGACAAAAACCATAAAAATTGACGAGATTCGGACGTGCCGATTGTCTTCCTAAATTGGCTTAATCCTGGAAGATTAGGCAGGTCAGTGAGCTGCTGATCCGGCGAACAAGACCAGGCACATTCACACCAAAATCGTTTGGAATCTACCCACCCATTTCATTTCCCTGTCCCCGCTGCCATGTCAGTCCTCATTTCTCTGGGATTAAGGTAACATGGACCGACAACCACAGGTCTAAGGAATTGGGAAATGCCACTTTAGTTCTTTAATCCTTTACAAACCAGCCTTGTGTAATGTGGAATCGGAGCGAATGCGGTAATAACTTGGTTCTGGCTTTGTAACTGCGATCAACGTTGAGCTGCACTTTCCATACGAGTTGGTTGCGTGAAATGAGTTTGTTCCAGCTGTCATCAGCCTCCCTAACCACTCATCTCAAATTGGACGAAAGAGTGACATAGTCTTGATTCATCATGAGTTTATTATTTTCTTTCCAGCAATTGTGATTATGTGTAACTTACTGGGCTTCTATTCCTAGATCGACTGTGTCTCCAGTATTTTTCTTTTACGTTATAATTCCTTAATCCAGGACTTCCGATCGTGCAATGTGTGCTGACTTACAAGTTACCAAAAACAGCCAGGGTGCTCCGTGTTTTCGTCCATTAAAGCACGGAAACCCAGTGTTTACGGGCAGGCCGATACTTGTCTGGCATACGCCCTCCAGTTTGTCACAGAATTTGACCTGCACCCCAATTATCAGTTCCCACAAACTTTCTTGGAACTTTTTCAAAAAAGAAGGAAAGTTGATCATTACTGTACGTAATATAATATTATAGATGATGTAATATTATACTCCACATCGGTACACCTATTTCTGTCGACGTCACTCCCATTTCCGTCATGTGTAATGTACGCAAAAAATATGCGTTACCCAGATCACAGGCCTGAGGAAGAGATGCATTATTCCATTGGCTGCAAAGCGTGGGAAACTTGTCTGGAAAATAAAAACGCTATTTTAATGCTTCTTCTGGCTTATGTGCTTTAAAAAGGAAACAGCTTGAAGTTGATCAAACTTGGATTTGATTTGTTCTTTGGTAGGCCTCTGCGGTGTATTGAGAACTACATCAGCGAGTACGTCTATTCTATGTATGCCAACACCCACACCACAACTACAGTGACATCGAAACAAACGACGCAGTTCAGGCACGAGGCCAGGTATTTACAAGTTTATTCCTCGAAATGTTGAATCTGACGCAGTCCAACTTGGCACTTATTGCCAGTTCCATTGACCCCTGCCAAAAGATTCTATTATAAATGAAGTAAAGTACCAGTAACTTCGACTAAAATCCCGTGCGACTTCTAAAAATTCAATTATGTATATGTCGTGATTTCAAATCTCGAGGAACTTATCGGGTCTCCTGTGATTGTGGTAATTAAAGTGAAGTTTCACGCTTTCCCTCCTGTGCTCAGCGCTCTAGCGCTCATAGCAAACGCGACAGTGTTGATCGTGGATGGTAAGATGTTGGATGTTTTTTGCCGATTCACACGATAGATTGTAAGTTTTTATGTCCGTTTGCCTCAGAAGACAGGACACCTGCGGTTTGACCCTCAGGTTACGAGTGACCTTGTTCAGTTATCTGGGACACTTGTCCTTAACTCCCGCCTTGACAATGAAGGAAAACCGCACTGACTTGCAGTAGCTAGCCAAACGGACTCTTCCTTTGTGGCTAGACGGTATATCCCTTGTCACCCGGCCCGAGGTCCGCATGGAGACCACACCCGGGGAGTGAACTGCAGAACTCTCTGGGGCGGCATTGGGAACCTCCCAAGTTCAGGGACTAAAGCTCGGTCTCTTGGGACACCTCTGGGTCACCTGGGGTGCATAACAAACATGAGGGACAGGTGAACTTTACACAGGGGAACAAGGGAGAGGGGGCTCGTGAGGAACATGACAGGAAGGGCAGGAGATTGGGGCGCGAGTGAGGGGGTGATAAGAGACGGGATAGAGGAGGGGTGTGTTGACGCGATGCACGGGTGTGAACCTGGCGAGGACCTGGTGAAAAGTACGTGCTCGGGGTTTTGCTGATCAGAAGCAAGCTTGGCCTTAATGCGACACGGCCAAGTTCCCGGGTGGGGCTCACATACTCATCTCAGTTCGTTGTCAACCTACGCAACCACAAAATAGGTCTATTGGAACAAGGGTCTTGTGTTTGTACAACCCACGTGCTTAACTTCTGTCGAGGGCTATCAACCAACGGTATTCCCAATGGGAAAAACATTCAGAAATAGGTGATTAATAAGATTGAAATAACTAGAAACAACACACCTATGCATAATACGCTCATAAAGTAAATTAATTGAAATAAACAGGTAAATTACACAAAATTATGACCAATGAAAGTCAGATAGAACGAACAAAGAATATGGTAATTAAAGCACAAAATCTTTTTGTGGAAATTCCATGCCTGAATGTATTGTCTGTGGTACAATCTGACACAAGGTGCGCTCCACAAGCACGAACGAACCTCGATGTGACCCCGTAGGTTCAAAGCAATTAACCCTAACGAGGTCACCTCACGATCACGTGGCTTACTTTCTCTTAATAGCCAGTTTTAACCGGGATAGTTTGGCCTGTCTTGTCGCAGGGAATTGATTCGTAGCTGCGTCAATGCCACCGAAGATGACGCAGTGATTTTCACTGGAAGCGGCTCTACCGGGGCCATACACAAACTGCTTAACGTGATGGAACTGCACGGAGAAAAAGCCGCAAGGACGGTGAGTTTGAAGACGCTAAACCAGAGCCCCAAACCCTTGCCAAGATCCACGAAGCGTAAGAATGTCAGCCCCTTAACTAAACAGATTTTTGTAATCGAGTTTTCAACAATGGTTTGTCAGGTGATTTCTGCGGCTGAACCACGTTACGAATGATGTCAAAGTTTATATGAGGGTGTAATTAAAGTCTGTAGTTTCTTCCATAGGGAAATTCAACATGCGGCCTATGGGGAGAAGGCAGTGAACAACAACTCACAAGGCTATAAATAATCATTGCGCACTTTCGTACTTCAGTCGGCGGTTTTTAAAAATAGTTAACAACTTTCAATTATGTCCAATTATGTGTATAACAAATCCCGGACACTTGTTCAGGTTGTTCACGCCCAATGAAGAAGGGGTCTAAATTTAGTCTCTATTCCTATCCGTTTCTCGAGGGTGATGTGTTGTTGGGCGCTGGGAACATTCATTTGATTTTCGGATTTCTGTTTTTTACTCCTACAGATGGTGCTGGTCGGTCCGTTTGAGCACCACTCCAACATACTACCATGGCGAGAGAGCGGAGCTAGGGTAGGTTCATGTTCCAGGGCATACAACCCCAACTGGGTTAGGTCACAAGCCCCCTTTACCTCAAGAGAATCCCCTTTTCCGCTGAAAACCGCACGGTGAACCACACGGGTGAAGCCATTGATTTTTTTCTCTTTCCAACAGGGCAATTCCTCTCGAAATGCCATGTGTCATAATTCCATGACTTCAATTTCCTATCGGCCGCCTTGCCACCTACGCTCTCTTGGCTTATCATCCTAGCAGTGGATACAGGGCATGTTAGCAATTAAAAAAAATCGCCTTTAAAGTGACTCAAAGACTTTGCGGTATTGTGGCAGTGAAGGGACCAACAACTCTTCAAACAAACCCTTGAAATGAACTCTTCAGAAATCTGTCAGTGAAATACCTAATAGTTTGAAGTGTGCACTGTTCTGAATATTGATGGTGATATTTGTTTTCCTTCCCCTTTAAAAATCAAACTGACCTGCTCCCTCAATCAATGAGGAAGGAGAGGAACCTTTTATTTCGTCTGTCCAGCTTGACCTGCGGTGTTATCCCAATGCCTACGGGGTCAACTGGACAAATTATCGGGATTATATACAGTCATATTCCTGGAAGCATCCTGCTTAAAGGGTTTGTCGGGCTTCCGCTGGGGAAAATTTGGTCGTCTCAAAACAAGCAAGCGCCTCCCACGACCCCTTATTTGTATTATTTATTCATAATTGCTCAAGTTAAGCGGGGAGACCCTGTTTTCGTGTAAGAGGACGTGGTACAGACTTCGGCTGAAATCATTATTTTTTTTTTGTTCGGGGTAAGTTGTTTTGTTGCGACATTGATGTTAAGTGTACGGGGCTTTCTAAGCTGCTTGTTTTTTCCTTCAAGCCGTTTTTGCTTCACTTCTGGTCTAGTTCACTTCAAAAAAATGGCATAATCGACCCGCGCGACGTTGCGACGTTCTCTCGCTCGTCGCCTGCAACACGACCAGTCCTGCGTGTCTAATCAGACTTTCATAATTTTCAATAGCCGTTTGTAATGATCGTGCGTGATGTGGCACTTGAAAAAACACGTCGCCAGACAACTTGGCGGCACCCTTTTATGCCGCTTTCGGAAAGACATTTTCTTTATCAATAAGAAATCTAATTATGCCGAATGTTTCGAGAAGAGCAAAAATGGGTAGGGCGTAGGTGCATATGCAGATATTGAGGCTCAGCTGCCTTGCGCCTGACAAGTTACTATGGATACACTGAAATATGGAACTCACCAGTTTCCGCGACCCCACTTTCTTTGTTTTTTTTTCCAGGAAAACTACGGTTGAGCTGTACATAATAAATTTCCCCGATTAAGGATGGGGTTAAGTTATATGCAAGCAGATATAGTACGGTGAAGTCAAAAGGTCTTTGAGATCACGACCTTAAATTTAAAATTAAAAACTTTTAACTACATGTTGGCATATTCCCTTCAACCCAGCTTCATTCGAAATCTTATGAAATGCGTATGAACGTGTCGAAAACCTGCGAGTAGTGTGTTTTCTTTTCTAATATCTTGCTCAATGTCAATTAATTTGAAGCATTGCTGATAACCTGCCCTACACAGTTTCGCCTAACTTGATTAGGTTTTGTTACCAATGCTATCCTGTATCTTCTTTTTTAAGAAACATGACAGCCAGCAGCTATCAAGCTGGCGCGGGGCATGAGTGTGACTGAGAAAGTAAAACGAACGCTCTTCGTGCCACACATGATGTGCTTGAGTTATTTACTTCTAGCTCTCACATCTTGAAGTATATTTCCCTGTATTGCCATTTCTTGTGCACTGTTATTTGATGGTACATATGTTTTTGTCTCTATAGGTTGTGCGAATCCAGCAGACGGCAAATGGACTGGTAGACTTGGCTGATTTGGAGTCTAAGCTCCAGACATATTGCCAGAAGTACGATCTGATACTGGGATGTTTTTCAGCAGCCTCGAATGTCACGGGTATCATTACCGACACCAAGCCGGTGGCGGCGCTCTTGCATCATTACGGGGCCTTGTCGTTCTGGGACTACGCTACCGCAGGTGCAGTCATTGTGGAGAATTTGCCCAAGAAAAATTGTGTGACCATCCCTATGAATAAAAGCTGTGAATAAACATGTTCCCCTCCCCCCTGCCCCGCCCTTCTAAAAACTGAATCACTCGTTACTGGGATGTGTGTTTCGAAGCATATTTCCCAGGAAAGACTTGAGTTCAGACTTTTAATGTTGTTAGCTTTATGATTATCAGTCATTTTCCAAACTCTTTATTTGTGGTGTTTATACTTATACGGCTATGAACCCTACGAAAATTACAGAAACTTAATGAACTATTTTTGTTTCCTTATTCAGCTCCGTATTTGGACATCGATATGAATCCCGAAGATTGCCGGTGAGTTTAATGAAACAAAATTCCAGAACGTTCAAAGCCGATTTTCTTTAACATTTTTGACAAAGCCAAGTGTTTCAAGTAAATTGCCCAAGATGGAAACAAGTACCATGGAAGACGTTTCAAGTCTTGAGTAAAAGTGCATCTGGGATAAGCATTTTAAACTAATGGAAAGTTTGCTTCATTGATGTCGAAATTGACAATAATTTGATGATTTGTTTGGGTAATGTTTGTTTGCAGGCCAGATTGGGACTGTTCAAAGGATGCCGTGTTCATATCTACCCACAAGTTTGTTGGAGGCGTTGGGACACCGGGTAAGATACAAAAAGCAACCTTTAGTAGGCATCGATTATGATCAGATTTGCCAGTGATTTTGATATGGCTCAGAGTGTCCCTAGTCATGGCATTTCCTGCTTCTCTAACAGTGTTAGAGGTCTGAATAAAATGGTAAATCGTCTTTTGCTCCCCTCCAATACCGAAGGAAAAACCTTCATTATATTCGTATTTTCAGAGGTCTGTAGGTCTATATTTGTCGTTTTGTATATAAGACATCGTTAAATAAATGTCCTAATGCTCAATTTCCTTCAAACTCGCCCCCAATAGCGGCATTAATCACAAGAAGACGTTGTCTGGGAAAGTCATTGTTCATTTACCTGTCTTCATTTTGTCACCCAGGTCTTTTAATCGCCAAGAAGTGTCTGTTCGTTAACAAGGTACCACACGGCGCAGGCGGGGGTACGGTTGCATATGTAAGTCTCAAGATAACCTTGCCATGTGTTGCTTTCTTTAACTCGATCGGTTGAAACCACTGAGAAGAGAAGTATTTTGGGCAGTGCTTTTTTCTGGGCGACACACCTTGTTATCGTTTAGTCATCATCCGGTGCAACAACGTGAAAGAAACTGTCGCCAACTAGTCTGTGCTTGCTTGAGGAATGTTAAAGTGATGCAATTTGTGATTTTCAAGAGAAATGAATAAATCAAGGAATAAAGAACCGCGTTGTTTTTCGAATTATCCAGCACATGTACCACAAAGAAACTAACGTTCTTCGACATTTTGATGTTGTCCTTGGAAAACCGTATTCCCAAATTCGATTGTCTTGTAGTTTTGGTTGCTTTAGGTGCTATTAAAATTTCGATTCTGACGTCAAGACCTAAAATTAGTAAGAGTTTTACGAAGGGGATGTACTTCCTCACCATCCAGGTGTCACGTGACATGTACCACTATCTTCGCGACATTGAGGCCCGGGAGGAAGGCGGCACTCCGGCTATCGTAGAATCCATCCGCGCAGGTTTGGCCTTCCAGATTAAGCACGCTGTGGGTGTAGATCACATCGAAGAGCGGGAGGAGCAACTAGCAAGGTAAAACAGAAAGAACACATCTGATTAATTCCTTTATGTACTGCAGTGAAATGGATCGTGTAGTTCATCAGAAGATTATTTTGAAGCATTTTTCATTAAGAGAGTTTTCATTCAATCTGTCTGGGATAGGAACCTACAATCATTGTTAATAACTCTGCCCCAGAGTAAAGCCGTCTGCCTCAAACTAAACCAAGCACAACTTCGTCCGTGTTCCAACAAAATGGTTGCTACGTTGAAACCGCCTCGTTTGAATAATATTTGTGTACGTTAACAGTTAATCATATATAACTTATCCAGTTAACCGCTTGTTATTTTTGTCTAGGTACGCTTTTGAGAAGTGGCAGTCGAACGAAAATCTCTTGATTCTTGGCAACAAGGAAGTATCCCGTCTTCCCATCTTCTCCTTCATGATCAGGCATCAGGAAACTGGCAAACTCCTCCATCACAATTTTGTCTCCGTCCTCCTGAATGATCTCTTTGGCATCCAGGCTCGGGGAGGATGCGCATGCGCAGGTCCTTACGCCCACGTAAGTTGACGACACTTTGTTCCGTCGTGGGCACCATAGTTTGATCTTATCCCTTTCTGTTTTATGATTCCATTAGTGAGAAAATCAAGCAAAAATAGACCAGTCGATATTTATCAAATAGAAAGAAGTATTTTAGAAATTCTACATTCGTTTTTAGTTGAGGCGTTTTTCATGTTTGATCATGCAGGATCTTCTTGGGATTTCCGAAGACAGCGCTGTCAAGTTTTACGAACTCCTTCGTGAAGACAGGTGAGCGGTTAAACTCAGAATGTTCCAATTTTTATTGGTTACATTTGTGAATCTTCCGAATTCGTAGAAGCCAGAAAAAATGCCCAAGCGCTAAAGGCCTACATGATCTTAATCTACAAAGTCTTAAATAGAAATTCATGACAGATTTGATTTCACTCACCAGGAGAAACATGTGCAACGAGGAACCCGCAGAGGCGGTTAGGCCGGGATTTGTTCGCATCAATCTCCCCTACTTCGCCACCGAAGAGACCATCGATTACGTAACATCGGCAATTGACATGGTGGCTACTCATGGCTGGAAACTTCTTCCACAGGTATTAATCTTCAACATCATCATCACACCATTGCAACATGCAGAACATAAACCATCAGAAACCGTCATCGTTTCCATATTCCGTTCGGCGTTCACTTAGATACGTTTATAGGTGTGGGTAAAACCAATTTGGAGGTTGACCTTTACATCAAAATTTGAAAGAACGCTTTGGTAAAAGTCTCCATGTTGTAACTGCACATACATGTAACTAAGTTTGTTTCGTCGAAAGTGGCGAGATGACTTGTTTTATGTTCATTATATGAAAAAAATATCGCTCAATTTAAAGTAAAACGAAACACACATATGACTGTGTCTTTGCATTGAATGAGGAAATCTATAAACCGTCAAAATCAAAATATTACGTTCATGAGGCAAAGTACTCTTGCAACAGTACAGTGTATTGAGTATTACTACATTTTGTAATTAGCATCACATCTCGATATTTTGCCACCAACAGTACCGGTTCGACCTGAAGAGTGGTGCCTGGACCCACCGGGTCGGTGTCGGCAGGAAGGGTCCCGGACTATCCAGCCTGTATGACATCAACTACGACCATGGCTTCATGGAGATTGACTCAGACACCGAAGACCAGTGCCTGGGTCAGACCAGACTAGAACACTACCTGCAGGAGGCGCGGGTGCTATTTGATCAAGCTGTAGAGGATAACTTGGTAAGTTAGATCGACTCCTCTTCTCTCGTATCTTTCCCTCGAGTTTCCAAAGCTGCACCAACCTTGTCTCAGTGTCTTGAAAATGAGTCATACGCTGAGGACGTAACGTACTTAATGGGACCTTATATGTGAGTTCGAAACTCAATAACAACCCAAGGTGCTATTGACATTAAGAGTGGAAGCTATCATGTCCCTGTTACTCTAGCATGTATCCACACTTGATCTTGGATTCAACGTTTAATTTGAAACATAAAATTTCAATCTTTGTACCCTGACCTGGTTTGGACTTGGTTGTACCCTGGTTTATAATTTTTCTTTTGAAAATTCTGTAGGTGTTAGACGCTCTGCAAGATCCCGAAGTTCAACTCAGTGAGCCGTACCAAGACTTTCTGTGGTTTGTTCAGCCTCGTGAGGCGGCCGTCTGCCTTCATGACGCTTGGTCGCAGACGCTCCAACAAGCTCTCAAGAGTGGCTACGTTTTCGTGATCGAAGACGGCTGCTCCGAGGTGGATTCTGAGGTCGTTATCGACCGCTATGGAGATACGATGGTAACGCCATTGGACCAGGAAGATGCGGCTACCGTACCGCACGCTACGCTGGAACTGTCCCACCACGGCTACGGTGAGAGCTTTACCGCTGACTTCGAAGACGTGGCGGTGGTACCGGGAGATGAAGTTGATACGTCAGACCCATTTACTTACCACGGTGACATGGAGATGTACACGGGGACAGTGAGCTCCGCCTTCGATTTCACCAAGCCTGGGCACGGTGTGAGTTACGGAGGATTGGATGGAGAATTCGAGCCGGGTGAGAAGCCAAGATCGAGGCATCCTTCCCTCTGTCGTGCTTTCTCCAACGAAAGTGGCTACAGAAGCGACGAGGAATTTACCTATGCAGGCACGGTTTGACATTGCTAGATATAAGATTTGGTCGAAGTTACAGGGTACGTCTGAGCAGCACAATGCACATCTTCCCTTGATTGAAAGAAAACATTGCTACACGAGTCTCGCTCAAACTCTTGGACAGAGGGAAGTATACATGTAAATTAAACTCCACTGAAGCTTGGTTTAAGGGGAAACTGTTAAACTGCACATATATGTATCTCTTTATGTACAGAGGATATTAAGGCTGTAATAAATTGGAATACTTCATATTTACTTAAGATATTTCTAACTTATATTTCCCTCAGTACTTCATCAGTAAATCCGTTCTGATCCAGTGTCTTTGTGCTGTTTATATTACTGCTCTTGTACATCATTACTGAAGTATCAAAATGTCTTAAAGAAAAAAAAAATCAATTAACTTTATTTTAGGATGCTGACGCATGCTTCATAACACAGCTTAGTATTCGTTCGAAGAAAGTTTGTCAGTGTTAATTTTTGGTGATGGGGTTCTAGTGATCGGGACTTTTATTTTGGTTTTGTCACTTCTTAGCCAGTGGAATAGAATCTACAATTTTTCTTGCCACTCGAATAGAGCAACATATGATTTTATCAACTGAACTCGTTGACCAGTATCTTTCGCTGACTTTAAATTAGTTTTGAAGTTTCGTCTAATATATGTACATTGGCAATGAAATTGCTACTTTTGACAATTTAATCTTGTATTCTGTCTTATTGCATCAAATGTACAAACATGTAATTATATAAATTAAGATGAATTTATTCCAATGGTTGTAATTGTAAATTGGTATTTTATATGTAACATGTATCCAGTCAAACAATGTGAATAAAACTATGCGAATATCTCTCTGTACGGTAACATTGAATGTTTTATACATTAAAAATAATAGTTGAGTATAATTCTTTGAATAATTATGTTTATTAGCTTTTGACAATAGATGCAAGCAATGAATTATTTTGGTTGATCTTAATTCTCAGCTTAAAAGAACTAAACAGTTATCTAGTTAAAAGAATAGTTATAGGTATGCATCTTCGCTTTGACATAGGATTAATTTCGAATGATGTTTTTGTTATGTAGTAATATTTACCTACAATTCCAGCAATTCCTTGAAATTTCTTGTTTGTCCGAAGTTGCCTAATGACGTTGACACTAAGCTTATCGTGTATATAATATAGCCAGAAACCACACATGTTATTACTAAAGGCTGTTGTACATAATTGTGGTGTAAGTTAACGAATATTTTGGTATCTACTACGACTGTGTAAGGCGTTTGCCCCGATTCAAAGTGAGACATTTCTAATAAAGAAGACAATGAAACCAGAACCGTGAGCATCACTCTATGTGTATCTGTCACATTCCGTTTTTCAACTTTTGTCATATTTCTATTTCTAAAAATTAATTTCCATATTGGCAGTTGAGCTAAGCTTTTCACTGAGCGATTTTACAGGAGGGACGAGAAAGACTGTAAGTAGTTTTACCAATTGTTCTAGGTTTGTAAATTAATGGTATTAATGGTATTCCCATGGTATTCCCACCCGTACCGTGTAGTAATTAGTACATATGCAATTGCAAAATAGAATTTTGGTTTTGCTTTTAGATTCACATACAAATTCATGTATCACGAGACATTAAGATAAGATAGTAGACAGTAAGATAATAGCTGAATAGGTACCATTTTTGTTAGCATGTCATCCAGTGCTTTTATAATCTATTTTCATTCTCCTAATTTTGCATTGGCGGTCCATTTTCACCGTTGTCTCAATTTTTCCGTTACTCTCGACTACTCAACACCCCTTTAGCTTGATGTTCCGGTCCACGTGTACCACACTATTGCTGCTGCATCGTTGTAGGTCGGGGATATGACTGTGCATTACAATTTGACCCCTCCCAGCCCACAACGTTTTGGTTCACAGCCAGGGGTTCAAAATCGAGACTGTACTTCTTGTTGCAGTCGTAGTTTCGGGTAGCGACTGCAGACCCATCTCAACTTCTTATCCATGGTTCCTCGGGATTCAATCAAGGTTTCTTCCATTTTTGTAAAGATGAGCTCTATGACTGACTTAACCAACTGGACGGTCGAATGTTGAGGAAGCAAGAGCTTACAAAAAAATTTGACTTCTTTGGAAGTATGACTGGCCACAGTGCCGAGGTTACAATTTTTTTCTCGTTCCAGTAGCGACAAAAAGAAAAATGTCTCTCGCAGAATGTTTGAAGATAGCTTCGCAAAGTCTAATGGGTAACTTCCCAGCACCTCAACTGGCAAGGCATGTAGGCCTATGTTTCAAGCGCACGCCACGGTCCATCATGGTGCGAAAACTATAACCTGCCTTTAATTAAGTTATTTTGTACAAATAAATTCTATCTAGTGAATATTCCAAGAATCAGCACCCCGAAAAAAATCGGCCCATTCCATAAATGTGCTGGAACGGGCGAAGTCACAGATTCGTTCCAATGAGCCAGTTCGGTATTTCATAACGCAAAGGCTGTTCGAGAGAACATGTTTAGTCGAAGGCACCCCGAAAAAATCGGCCAATTCCATAAATGTGCTAGAACGGGCGAAGTCACAGACTTGTTCAAATGAGCCAGTTCGGTATTTCATAACGCAAAGGCTGTTCCAGAAAACATGTTTAGTCGAAGGCACCCCGAAAAAATCGGCCAATCCATAAATGTGCTGGAACGGGCGAAGTCACAGACTTGTTCCAGTGAGCCAGTTCGGTATTTCATAACGCAAAGGCTGTTCGAGAAAACATGTTTAGTCGAAAGCGTCTTTTTTAATTACACAGCTGTCAGGGGATGCACCGTGTGCTTTCCTATGGGAAAATTGGTATTGAGGGGAGACTAGTCTTCCCGACTCGTAGAAGCTTGAAATGCCGGACTTCCCTTTTGGGGTAAAATAATCCCCCAGAGCCGTGGTTATAGCCTTTATTCAAGTCAAATTTCCCCAGTGTGTTGTGTAAAATAAATTTCGCTGGCAGCACTAATCATCGGGGCAGATCTGACGCGTGCGTATTTCTCCCGAATGATATGCTTTAGTGTGGGCATGCGCTGTTGATTAACGGAATGCTCTATTCTGAAGTCTTATAAATATATGTAAAACAATACTGAAGTAAACAAAGTAATGGTAAATTAATGAATCAGATAATAGATTAACGCGAAATAAAAATAAAAGATAATTGTAGTAATTCAAACATCCACAATGTGGTTATGAGCTGAGACAGGATGAACAGTGGTTAAAAAAGCCTTTTCTGCTTTCGGTCAAAAAGTAGAGGACGCAATACGAACCATGCAGCGGCGCATCCAGGGCAAAAATTGGGAGTGTTTTCCTGAAAAAAGTAAACATGGCTTTCTCGATTCTAAAATATTGCAACATGTCCCCCAGGGGTCCTCTTACCCCCGCCCACGGATATACACCACTGCACTGTTTGACTTTTAAGAGCCGACCCAGAACCCTTTTTATGGGGTAGAGCAAACTTTTTTGGGGAGGTCGGGGACTGGGTATATCTTCAATCTTTTATGGTCTTTATTATTATAATAATAATCTTACTGTAGGTCGTACGCTTTAATACTGAGCTCAGCAATGATTGATGAACTAAGACGCCAACGTCATTGTGTGTACTCGAGCAGTCAATAAACTTGATTAATCATAGAAATATAAAAGGGTTGCATAAACACCCGGTCTCACTGTCGCGCACATTGATCTCCTTTCTGAAGACGTCGCACTTTTGCGCCGCCGTATACAAGTACTCTCGGTGACGTAAGCGTCTGCATCCTGCGGAAAGCATCATCCGATGTACAGCGAAAGGAACTGGAACAGCGCGTCATCTTTGAACTTGGAACGCTGCGTCCAGGTGGAATAGATGTGGATTTTTCTGCCCTGACGAAGTTACACAGTTACCGAAAGCTCAGCAATAGATAAATTAAGAGCACTGACTGTTGTGTATACATATTTTTGCCAATAGGCCTACACATGATTAAGTCGGACAAGCGGCGCGTACCCAACTTGAACATGCAGGATGAAAATTCAACAGAGGAGTCTGCAAAATCAGTCAAAATCCACGAGGGAGGTCTCCTCAGGGGAACAAGCCACAGAGATCAGGAACTTACCCTGTGTCATATGACGGTTCAGCCAGGAATTTTACCACCACATAAAGCGTATGCCGACACACATCAGAGCAAATTGAAACACATGTCCACAATTAGCCATCATACTGCAACATTTGGGCCTATTTCACTCACGCTTTGGGAAGGAAGGGGAATAACCCCCCTCCCCCATCGCCCGTCGTTGTATTTGCAAAATGTCCACTCCTTTAGATTCCGGACCCGTTGGCGACTTGTTGGCTCTGTGAACGTAGGCGTACTAGTTTGAGCATGGAGCATAGCAAGTTCATGGTTTCGTGAAATTAACTTGACGTCTGGGCATAACTCTGCCAAATGTGGTACTCAAGTTAATGTAGATGGCGTTGACCCACTTGATCATAGATCCATCGCCAGTGCAATATGTTCAAAATTTTCGTCAGTCAATTCTGATCTGTCACCACTTGACGTGTCATCCTTCCCGACTTATCTTCCAGCACGCCCTATTCCCTCAGTGAACACTTGGGAATTGTTTAAAGGTTTTGGACAAACTGAAATGCAACAAGGCCTGCAGCCAAGATAACATTTCAAGCAGGTTTATCTGCTAATTTGCATACGAATTAGCTAAGCCTCTTACTATAGGCCTAATTATAAATTGTTCCTTAGCTCAATACCGTGTTCCTTCCCAGTGGAAACGAGCTATCACTGTACCGGTTCCCAACTCCACTCCAGCATCTGCCGAAAATTTGAAACCTTTTGCAATAACTACTCATTTTGCAAAGGTTGCTGAACACTTTATTGCCAAAGAAACTTCCAAGCAAATGGAATGTAATCTGGACCCACGCAGTATGGCAGTCGTAGAGGGGTTTCCACATCACATTGTCTAATCGACTTACTTCACATGCTACACGCTCAAGCCGGACAAAAGAAATCAGTCTCGTCTGTCTTACTAACAGATTTTTGTAAGGCTTTCGATCGAGTCGAGCACACCACAGCTATCACCAAGCTTTTGAACATGGGGGTTTCCTCCTCTATTGTAGCCTGGTTTGCTGACTTTCTGTCTGATCGTGTGTAGGCCTATCGTGTGAGGTATGGTCATTCCTATTCGGTTGGTCTCCAAACGCTTGAGCTAGATACATTGCAGGAACGTAGACAGAAACTGTGCATGTCGTTTGCAAAAACCATACCCAACTTTGAGTTAAAAAAGCACCTCCCCTTTGCTGCTACCAGTGCTTATCATCTACGAAACTCAGAACGATACTCTGCACATCGTTGTAGAACAGAACAATTTAAGAAAAGTCTCATACTTTATTTTGCTCAACTTTTAAATAATTGTAATTAACCCTATTTTACACTCTTGCCTTCATTTAAAACAACGTTTAATGTTTTTGTGGGGTTTTTATTGTGTGCCAATGACCGCTTTTCGGCCGTGAGTCCCGAATGGGTTGTGCATGTGCCAGCCTCTGTTGATCGGAGCGCCTTTTTCAGTTTTTGTGGTTGTGTGCGATATTTAACCCTGTGTTAATATTGTAATTCTTGTATTTTAATGTCTAATTGTAAAAATCTCAGCAATTCAGCCTTTGGCTACTACTGAGATTTTAATAATAAACCAGCAATGAATGAATGAACAGTTGGCTTGAGACACTAAATTGCAACGTTTTTTGATAGACAAATAACAATAAAATTTGCTTCTATTATTGAGATGCTCAGAAGAAAATATTCGTTAATTCATAAGTTCTGTTTCTCTGTTTGGATTGGGTCTAGATCCCATGCATCGTCACCACCGACGCAGCATTTCAAACAAAGCAAAGAGTCGGTCTCCGAAAGGGGGCCGGGCGTTTCCTGATCCCGGCCCTTGTTATTTAAATTTAATGGATGTGTCACTTTCTCCAGTATCGATACTACTGGAAGGCTACTTTTTTCGACTGTATCAAAATGAATCATCGATCTCTTTGAGCCTTGCTACGTTAATGTAAAATATCGAATCTTAAAAGTGCAATAGTTGTATCGATACATATCAACTTCAGTCTAACCGATTTTGCCAAAGGACGAGAGGTTGAGTTGCTCACGAGAATTGCACGTCCAGCGTTTTTGCGATGTTCTAATCTACAAAATCTACGAATCATGTCTCGGGCAAAGACAATTTTTGCTTTAATTCTTCTTACATCATGGGAATCTGGTGCTTCAAAAGGTAACTCAAGAATAAGTCGACTTTGGTTTGGCAAAATAAATCGATTGTTTTCATCTCCTAACTAGCCTACATTGTAAAATATCAGTCCTCAGTAGGTCTGCCGTTTTTTTTACGACCACACGCAGCTAGCTGCAATGGATGGTGGACCGTACTGAAGAAAGATCGTTAGCCCAGTTTCCGGACATTAGCCGTTGTTTTTTCATTGTTTTCAAACCAACAAGGTGCCATCTGTCTGTTTATATTGCGATAGTTTTCGTTTACATACAGGCTTACATACATGTATGTACAATGTAGGCCTATTCAGTGAAAATTTGGAAATTAAATTTCTGAATCTGGTGGTCCGGTAAGACTCAGAGTTCCATTTCCCTATTTTTCCTTTGGAGTGTGGTTTTATTAGCCATCAGAAAGAGATGAAATATCCTAAAAAGCCAAATTTAGCGGTGAAAACATTTTTGCTCAGAAAAAACTTAAAAGTTAAATATTTCAGACCAGTCTCATTTATACTGTAGAGGCGCACATCACAACTCGGGGACTGTCCCTGTATTCGGACAAGTCCCTTTATAAAAGGATAAAATCAGTCCCTTGAAGGAGAGTTAATTGGGGACTTTTTCCCAAGTTTGGGCTTAGATAAAAAATATCCACATTCTATTATCAATTTTTTCTCCCACATTTCCCATTTATATTTACAGTACTTAGGCCTATTTAAGTTTTATCAAAATTGTGCCATGTTGCTTGATTAGCTACATCATAAAGAATTGGTTTTCAGAAATTTTTTTGATACGGTCTTTTCCTCACCATTGCAGTCTCCTGCTTGTAATCCTAGAAGTAAATGGTAGAATTTTTAAATAGCAGCCTTGGGTATTTTCTTCTGTTGAATCCAGTCACTGTGGTATTAAAAGGATCCCCAGATGAAAATGTCCCCATTCAGAGAGACATTCTCTCTTTCCGGGGACTGATTTTATCTTTAAATAAAGGGACTTCTCCAAATATATGGACAGTCCCCGGGTTGTGATGTGCACTCTACTGTCATGTGTTCATAGGGCTGGTGCACAGCAGAATTGTAATGACTCCAGTCAATGTTTCGACTCAAGTCACAATATTTTTAGCGACTCGACTTGAGTCCTGACAGGTGAATGACTCAACTCAACTTGAGTCTCTGCGACCAAATGACTCAACTCGAATCTTTCGTGGAGACTTGCCTCGAGTACAAGCTTATGAAACTTGAGTCTCAAAAAAATTTAAAGCAAAATTTTAGTTGGCTAGACACATGTCACCCAAATTTATTTTCAGTATGTTTGAATGAAAATAAAAATATAAAAAAATGACTCACATGTACAGTACATGTAATTGTGTTTTTATTGTATTTTGTTCCAAAGTTTTTGACTCAAATTGACTCAAGCTTGAAACTTGACTCGACTTGACCACTTAGAGTGACTTGATTCGACTTCTTGGCCTTAAGAATTGCCTTGAGCCACAATGTTAAAATGACTTGACTCGACTCACCAAATGTAATGACTCGTTACCACACTGGTGCACGGGGTGTCAAGTGATGTCCAAATACTTAATGGAACTTTTTCCCTCAATCTTTATTGTAAGCCGAAAACTTAAGTTAAAGGAACTGCAAGTTTAGTCTTTTGTTTAAATGGAAGATGGATTTTCTTGACTCTCTTGCCATGTTCAAGATGTTAAGTGTTTGATACTTGTATGCCAAGAGTAGCACTTGGAACTTTTACCCCAACCACAACGACGCAGGGTTAAAGCTGCCATATACATGCATATTTACTAGGCTCCTACTTCTAGAAACCAAACGGCACCCGTGTGCCTTCCAGTTTTCATACTGTTTAGGCTAATCAAAATTGATTGGTTGTTTATCATTGTTCAGTGCAATCTTGTATCTCGTCTAAATTTATTGTACTTCCTCTAGAGTTGATTTGCCTTTTACAGCAATCCATTCATAGAATAATCAACTCGGGAGTACAAAATTTTTTTGCAAGGGTCAAAATTGCGCTGAACGTCATCATGAATGTTGGTTGACCATGTGACTGACTATTTTCTGAAATATTTGAGCTTTTAGCACTCACCGTCCTTTCATATTCCTCATGATGACAGTCCACACACCATCCACTTTAAGGCTGATACATTGTACACTGCACAGTTGAATGAAGAGTCTACTCGTGGAATGACCTAAATGGTTTACTACCTGTGTTTTTGATCCATAGCACCAACACTAAGTCCTTTCATCCGTCATTATGAGATGTTAAACTATGACTTGGAAGCAGTACATCAGCAGCATAGAAGAGCAGTCAGATCACTGGAGCAATCTAACGTTGAACTGAAATTTACAGCTCACAGCAGGTAAGAAAATGGCTCCCAAAATTATTGCTTCAATTAATGAAAATTGTATACATCAGTAAACCTGTACGTACTGTAGGTGCCACCATGCGAAACAGTGCACTGTGTTCAGCATGAAATTGTAATTGGTTCAAACTAACCCCAGATTTCTTTAATGTAAAGTTTTATTTTTATGCTGATTTTTATTCATATTTTCTTGAACCACATTGACTTGAAATTCCCAACAATCAAGCAGGAGAATTATATCAGGATTATGTAATGTAAAGCTTATTTTCTTTCATTCTTCGCCCTATTTTTCATCCAATGACATTTGAAAAATATCTCATTTGTTTCCTGGGAGATTTTGAGATAAAGATTTTAGCAAAGTACATGTATTCCAGAGAGATTTAATAGTTTAGGTGATTGTGATGCGGAAAGAGGTTTCATCTTGGGGAGCTTCCCCACAAATTTCCTGATTCAAGGGTTATTTTGGATGGTCCTGCACTTTGTTAATGTGAACCACTAGATTCCTGTTTCCTCTTAACACAGTGAGATTTCCTAAAACTTATCCAGCATTTGATTCAATTTACAATGCACCATGGCAGATGCCCTAGGTACCAGAAGTCTGTAGGAACTGCCCTCTTGGATTTTTTGCTCTTTCACCCCCAGGGACTGGACCCCCATGGTACCCTCCAGGTACCTTCAAACCCCCACCCTGTTTCGCTGGATATTTTAGAACTTCACAAAGTTGCTGATTCATGCATTGATTATTGAGCCCTCACTTCTGCTACTAATGTACAGTAGCTAATCCAATTTTGCATAGTTTTTATTAGAAGTTGGTGTACATACTTAATTTGAAATGCAGAATTCTTGAATTAAATCATCTTGGATTATCAGGTCAACATGACCTGCAGGGACAGAAAAAAGCCCCCTCCAAATTTGAAATTTGCTCAAAGTTGATTCAAATTTCCTTACAAATGGAATTCATCAGAAAACTTTAAAATTGGAACCAGTTGTGCGAGATGGCTTCATGGCTATTGTTTCAAATCAACAGCAGCTGTACTGGCCAAAACAAGATGCGACTTATGTCATCGTGGGTGTGTGTGACACCAACTCCAAATTTATCCAAGGTGGTCTAGCAGTCCAGTCGAACTTTCAAACCCTGAAAATGTTGACTTTTGCCTCTCATTTATACACGTACAGTACGTGCAGGCCCTGTGACAATTATTACAGTGTAATTACATGTAATAATCAAATGAACATCTTCCTAGGGGTGTTGTAATGTGACTTTTCACCTTACATTTTGTGATAGGATTTGTCACTCTATTGTGATGTGGCCATGTGAGAAGTTTTGGAAGTTACATACTATACTGTGCCAGTACATGTACATGTACGACAGCTGTTTGTCGTAATCCATTGCTTGCTGATTTTTATCTGTCACACATTACAATTTCCACTTGTACAAGTACATGTTTTGAATTTTCCATTTTCTGTTGTCTGTACGCTGAAAATGTACCGGTGCAGCTGCTTATTTGCTGTCAAATCTCATTTTGTAATGATTAATTTCTCTTTTATTTTCATTTGGACTTCTGGCTGCCTGAAAAAATTCGCGTATTTTGTCTTAACTGTTTCCTAGCTGATGCATGTACTTGTTATATTATACATTTTCATATCGTGATGCCATGCACTGTTTTTGATAAATTGCGGCTTTGTGGCATTCGCACGGTTATGTCCCTCTTTTGTTTCCCAGTACGTATGTGTACGTTGTAATGTTAATTACACTTGGAGTAAAGTTAAAGTAGCATATGGTAGTGATGTTGATTTTTGTCCATGAGTCAAAGTACACTTCATGGAGTTAAATCTGCAATTTATCTCAGCTCTCCAACAAGATGGTATACTTCTTATCTCTGTGCGCTGCTGTTACGATATTGTGAAAATGACTATGTTTTTGTAATTCCAACATGGGAGGTTTGATTTTCCTGGCCAAGATCCAGCAATATGAGTTAGTGACAGAGAACCCGGCTCCGTCTTCCTTTCTCTGTCCCCCCTCCCTTGCACGGACCACAGATTGGACAGGAGCCCACACCCTCAGGGATAACTGGGAATTTCCCCCTTGACTGTCCGATGATGAAACAGTCCAAGCCACTGTTGACAGTCGCTGGATTACGGCAGAAGGAACTCCCAGGATCAGGCCCTAAGCGCAATTGAAATTTAACATCAAGTGAAATAATAATATAGT